CTTACTTGATCCGCGAAGTGGTAGGCGCCAACACATTCAAACTCAGCGAGCTGGGGGGCAACAAGGTTCCAAGAACATGGAATGCGCAGAATCTAAGGAAATACCACCGCGCCGGTTAACGTGTACCACGTTTGTAATAGCGCGTTAGCGCAATAAATAAAAGGACATGGTTCCACGGAACAAAACTTAGCAATAGTCCAGCACTATTCGCGCCCAATCAGTTCGAAAGAACAAAAAATTAGTATGAGTCCAGCACTCTGCGCTCAGTTCCACGGAACAAAACTTAGCAATAGTCCAGCACTATTCGCGCCCAATCAGTTCGAAAGAACAAAAAATTAGTATGAGTCCAGCACTCTGCGCTCAGTTCCACGGAACAAAACTTAGCAATAGTCCAGCACTATTCGCGCCCAATCAGTTCGAAAGAACAAAAAATTAGTATGAGTCCAGCACTCTGCGCTCAGTTCCACGGAACAAAACTTAGCAATAGTCCAGCACTATTCGCGCCCAATCAGTTCGAAAGAACAAAAAATTAGTATGGGTCCAGCACTCTGCGCTCAGTTCCACGGAACAAAACTTAGCAATAGTCCAGCACTATTCGCGCAAAAGGACACGGTTCGAAAGAACAAAATATTAACAATAGTCTAGCACTATTCGCGCCTAAGTTCGAAAGAACAAAGATGAGCACCCAGCTCGCACACCCTCCGCGCGAGGGAACAAGGCAAAAGCAGTGGTTGTCGCTCATTCGCGAACACAAAGTTATTACTCATTCGCGCACACAAACATAGTCGAAAATCTTTTGTTCTAATCAAGGAGGGAGCCATGATGCCGTGCGCGGCTACACACAAGAAAACAAAAAAGAAAAAGAAGAGTACAAGAAAACAACAAAACAGCTAAGGCTCAATTGGGCCACATCTAAGCAGAACCAGTATCGGGCTGTTCGCCCTCCCTGCTCAACTTGCGGCGCAATAGAGGACGCTCCTCTTCCTCGTCCTCCTCATCTTCGTCGGCCACCTCTCCATCCTTCCTCTCCTCCCCTGTCGGACGCTCAACCTCCTCCCGGCGCTCCGCTTCTTCCTCCTCCTCTTCCTCGGACTCGGAGTCAGAATCCAAAGGACGCTTCTCGCTGATCCACACTTTGACGTGGTGAACCATCTCGCGAGTGTCCCAGCGCATCCCCGGATTCTCAGGGCGGACCTTCTTACCAACCGCTATCACGGCCTTGGTCATGGCATCCGCCATGATCTTCCCGAAAGGTTGGGAAGACTTGAACTGGCGGACGGCCGCGACTTCGGCTGCGCGAACGGCCTCCTCCTTAGCAACGGTGTGAAGGCGAACAAGGTCGTCCTTCTCCTTCTGGAACTCCTCGCGAGCTTTGCGCAATCTCTCAGAAAAGGAGACTTCCAGTTCTTCTCGGAGAGCAGTGCGCTCCTCGTTCCGCACCTGCTCTTTGGCCGCCTCCACGTCCGCGGCCAATCGGCTCTGCAAAAGGCCGAGTGACTCCAGTGCCTCGTTGGCCTTAGAGGTAGCGTCCTCCGCGCGATTGTTCGCCCCGAGGACCTTCCCCTCCAGCTGCACGATTTGCGCCTCGTCGGCCTTCATCTTGGCGCGCATCGAGGCGCGCTCTTGCTGAGCGCGAAAGGTCGCCGACAAACCCTGCAACGCCACGAGTCTTAGCCAAGCAAAAAAGAAGGGGGGAGGCTAAGAAAATAAACCTTAACCTAAACCGAGTCTTACCGCGAAATGGATCTGCGCCAGGTCGTGAAGAGGGTCCGTCTTCTCCACCCGCGGGGGAACGGAGAGAATGGGCCCGATCGCCCGAAGCGCATGATTGGCTGACACCAAGTTGCACGCCGCGGCGGTGTGAATCCGCACGTCGCGGACTTGGTGGACGGCGGCGGAAGGAGGTGCAGCGCTGACGGGAGGAGTGGTAGCGGATGTCCCGGATGAGCTGCCAGCCCCATCCCCCCCTCGACGAGCGGGCCGGCTCACCGTCGCCTCGGGCTCCGAAAGCGCCAGTGAGAGCTGCTGCGCGGCGGACAATTGTGGCGTCGCGGGCAGTTGCTTCGCCGCTTGGACGGTTGGCTCCGCTATGCGAAGGATCTTGCGGGGCCTCTCTACAACCTGCGGTTGCGGTTGCTCGACCTCCTTCCGCTTCGAGGGTTTTGGCGCCGCGCCGACCTTCTTCTTCCTTTTCTTGTCGGCACGCGGCGCGACGTCATCCACCGACATCATACTCGCGAGGGAAGAGAAGTCAACACCTGCGCCAATAAATCGTAAGAGAGCGGTTAATAAGATAGAATACAAAAAGGAAGGAAACATAACTAACCATCTCCAAAGAGCTCTTCCAAACAGGCTTCGCGGACGCCCCGCTTGTATAAATTCATGCGGTGAGGCATGCAAGCCTCATACTCATCGTTGAGCCCGTCGTATTTACCGACGTCGGACTCGAAACCGGCTATACTGCCCTTCATCCAGGTGGTGGGCTCCGGCAGCGACCCACTCGCCCATTCCCCGGGAGCGGGCTTAACATAGAAAAACTGACCAAACCAAGTCTTCTTCAACTTGGGCGAGCCGTACACGAAGCCATCGGGGCGGTGGTCGCGTCGCTGGATGGAGAGACAGTCGCTCACCTTTGTCGGCTCCTTGATTTTGTACATCTTGCGGAATAAGCCGTAAGTAGGCACGATGTTAAGCCTCTTGCACGCGAGACGAAGGCAACTCGCGTGCATGATCACCGACGGTGAGAGCCGACCGATGGAGCATTTGAGGCGGTCGTATATGGCGCATAACAGCGGGTCGATGGGGAACTTGAACCCCATAACCCAGTATTCGGCATACACACCGAACCACCCAGGGGGGCAGTTACCCACCATACTGCGCACCGAGGGAGCGGCGTACTCCCAACTGGGGGGCAAACCCAGTCCGCGAACCAACTCCTCCACGTCATCCACGTCATACGTCGAGGAGTGCTCGGGTCCGCGCTTGAGATTGTCAGACGGCGCCGGCTGGTCACCCCACATCTCCGCCCATTCGATCACGCGGTATGTAGAGCCAACACCCTGCGGCCCCAAGCGAGCCATGGCTTCGGTAACGCGCTCGACTGCTCGCGGCGCGAATTGCACATCAAAGTCTCCTTGCTCTGTCTCATCGCCGAAGTCTTCATCGTCGGCGACTTCATCGTCGCCGACCTCACCATCGGCGACGTCCTCGTCGGCGATTTCCTCGTCGGCCGCTTCGTCGCCGGCGACCGGCCCACCACCCTGGTTACGCCGAATAATCAGAGTCCCCCGAGCCGGCCGCGCCACCTCCCCACTACCGGAAACGGTTATACCCTGATCAGAAGAGCTTCCGGCCCCATCGCCCGACCTAGCATCGAACGTCGGCGTCGCCGGAAGTCCACCACCACTACTGCCACCCCCACCGTCGGATCCACCGTTCCAATCCCCAGAACCTCCATTCCCACCACCGGAATGGTCAGAAGAAGTATGCGAGAGAGGAGAGACATTACCTTCTTCGCCTTGTACGACCTCGGCCTCCTGGTTGTTGATGTTGGACATGATATCGACTCGAAGTTGATCAACAGCAGAAGAGGATTGGGGTAGTAAAAGGAGGAGAGAAAATCTCGAGGAAAGAGAAGTGAAGGAGGAGGGAAATCTTAGGAAAACAAAAGCGAGGCTATGATCGGAGAAAACAAGTGAGCCCTCCTCCCTTCAACAATCTCATATTTATAATTGATCCGGGGGAAAGCGAAGGGCCAAGGCCGTTCGGCGGAATGCGAAAGGTTAAAGCCACATTGGGATCCGTAACAGTCAGATCCCACCAAATCTTTTCGAAATTCAAAAAACCCCCGCCCAAATAGCCTAACCACACAGTGACACGTTGACACCTACAATCATAGACATTAGTCGGCGACGCCACCAGCGCCGCGCACCGACTGGGGGGCATGGCACACCCGCGAGGAAAAGAAAGACACGCATTGCGTCGCAACAAGAAGACAACCCCATGCGCGCATCGACGGGCATCGCGCGCGAGTATCACGCTCAACGAACAAAGATCAACCGCGAGCGCTTATCGCGAGGATAACGCCTGGAAGAGGAAAACATGCGTCGCGCTGCGAAAAGAAAACAACTCCACGAGCGCATCGCGCGCGAGTATCGCGCTCAGCGAACAAAGACCAACAACGAGCGCATTAGCGCGTACCGCACACGAAGAAAACGACCCCGTACGCACAACAGCGCGCGCCAAGCATTGCGCGTGGCGACCGAATGAAGCCCAACAACGAGCGCGATGGCACATGGCGTCAGGGCAAGGCGACGCCAGTTCATAGTATCGCGCACGTCGGCGCCAACCAATAGCTACAAGCGGACCGGCCCGAGTCCGGAGGAAACCTAAACAGGGGGCGTTCACAAAACACCCCCTGCTGGGGGGCAATTGTTGGGCATAGGACTCGGGCCTAACCACACCAAGGAACCGGGCGCAACTGGATGAGACCCCAACACGGCAGCGCGAGGACCCCGAGTGTGCCGCCTCATCATGGCTAACCACGTCCAGGCGCGAAGAGATGACAGGCGCTAGGGGAGGACTAGCGTAGGCTGAACCAGAAGATGAGGGAAGCGCACCTCTTCCAAGCGGGTAGTCACATCAGGGCCATGAGTGGATCTCTGACTCATCCTAGGTAGAGGGATGGCCTAAAAGCCTTAGTGTGCTAGTGGTCACATCATTGTATCCCAGTAGTCACATCACTGTATCTCTCCCTATGTCAACCACTCACCCACCACCATGAAGCCTATAAATATGGCATTTACTACGGTGGGTGAGGGGATCGCATTTTTCACCATTCTCTCTCTACAAGAACTACTTCTCTTTCTAATCTCTCTCTTACTCACTCTCTCTGATTCTGATTCCTCCGATCAAACCCGGTTCTCACGTTTCTTCTCGACCCAAACTCTCATTCGAACCTCACTCCTACACTCAGTTAGGTTCAAACAGTAAACTTGCAGGGTCGAAGACATTCAAGATCATTGATCTTGGGGCTGCTGCAGATTTGAGAGTCGGGATTAATTATATTCCAAATGAGTTTCTTTTGGATCCTAGGTACTTTTCAGTATTGTTTTCGTTCATTAGAGATTTAGTTTCTACAGTATTATTCATGGCTTTTATGGTCGACTGCTGCCTTTCAGGTATGCTGCTCCAGAGCAATACATCATGAGCACACAAACTCCTTCTGCCCCGTCTGCTCCTGTAGCTACTGCACTGTCCCCAGTCCTATGGCAGGTCCAGCCCAAAGAATCCACCCCTCGTCATAGAGGGGAAAATTCAAAAAATGGTTCAGCTTCATTCATTGTTATAAACCAAGATAACTAATCTGCTCTTGGCTTTGGTTTCTTTGTGGCTATGCAGCTAAATTTGCCTGATAGATTCGACATCTACAGTACTGGTTTGATGTTCCTACAAATGGTAAGACAGAGACCCGTTTTATTTAACAAAAAAAAAAAAAAAAAGAGGCTAAAACAAACCCATCATTAGTGTTGTTGATGGGACAATTTGAAGTGGCAAAGTATTTTGTATGCTGATGTTCTTGAATATGACTTGATACATCTTTATGAGCATGCTCCAATCCATTTTAAACCTTCCTTTGTTACAGGCGTTTCCAGGCCTAAGAACTGACAGCAGCCTCATACAATTCAACCGTCAACTAAAGAGATGCGACTATGACTTGGTTGCATGGAGGAAAAGTGCGGAACCCCGTGCAAGCCCAGAACTCAGGAAAGGGTTCGAGTTGCTCGATTTAGATGGCGGGATAGGATGGGAACTTCTAACCTCGATGGTGAGATACAAAGCACGGCAGAGAATAAGCGCCAAAGGGGCTTTAGCCCATCCTTACTTTGACAAAGAAGGGCTATTAGCTTTGTCAGTAATGCAGAACCTGAGGTTGCAGCTCATTCGAGCCACACAGCAGGATTATGGTGAAGCTGCCAACTGGATCATTCAGCTCATGGCAAAATCCGGGACAGAGAAAGACGGTGGCTTCACTGAAGCCCAGCTTCTGGAACTGAGGGTCAGTATGCCTGTGAATAAAACAAACCCTTTTTCTCGTACCTGTTGTGTGTTTCAAGTGTTTGAAATGATTTGGTCGCTTGCAGGAAAGGCAAGAGCCTAGGAAGAAGGCAAATGGACAAAGGAACGCTCTTGCATCAGCTCTTAGGCTGCAGAGGAAGGTACTCAAGACGTTGAACGAGAGCATGGATGAACTGAATCAACGCAGGAAGAGCATATGGTGGAGCAGGTGGATCCCAAGAGAGGAATGAAGTAATATTTGTACATAATCAAGGTGATACTACTCCCTTCTTCCAGGGTTGGATTTTTAAATAGGCTGATTCAGGGGTGTAACTACAGGCAGACAGCATTGGATCGTCCTGTTGAATGTCAAGTACTTGAATTAATGTGGATGTACATTATGTGCACAATAGTCACCACATCAATCCAACCACGGACGTTGCATGAGGAGACGATCAGATGGTGTTAGCTCATGCTTAAGGGGACCTGTCAGCATATAGTAGTCAAATTGCTGCTTCTCCTGTCCTTGTAAATTTGTATCCTTACTCTTTTTTTTTTTTTATATGTATGGGTTCAGAGAACGATGATGTACAGTAGAGGTTGAATTGAAATGAAAGAAATTAGCTGGAATCTATGGGGAGGAAGAGGGAGACAGACCTGGGATCTTTTGACCGCACGTGTAACCTCTGGCTTCATCAGGTTCAATGCCAATCGTTGGAAGATGAAGTTGATGGAAATGAAACAGCTACAAACGCAATTCTTAAATGATCTCTTTCACAGTTCTCAACATGAATGTTGTTTAAGTGCTCTTTAATAATGTTGAGTGAGTGATTAGTTATCTCGAAAATTCATGGATATGTTCCTTAAGGTAGCTCCCAAGAATGGCACAAGCAGTTCTTTACTATATGCTGATTGCAGACAGAGGGACTCCTGCTCGTACAACTTAGTCACCCATAAAACTACGATTGACAAGTAGCTAGTGATCTGCCATAAGACTGAAAATTGCCATACGAGATAATTATTTAGATATGTTGGTCAATTAAGATCTGCGTTGAAATACAAAGCCCTGGAAGGAGGGCGCCAAAGAGGGAAATCTAGCCAGGTGACGAGAAGGAAATTAAAGGGATTTGTCTTGCATGCAAAACGACAAGCGAGAATCTAGCTAGCAAGAATTTAATTAGGTGGCGGGAATTCCTGTCCAGGATTACAGCACTCCCTGTTTCCTTCCTGCATCTCGCACGCACAACCATCGATATATGAACTAACTAGCTTCCGGCCATTCTGATTCCGTTCCCTCAAATTTATCGTCCTTGCCTTGCCTTTTGGGCTGATCCGCACGCACGCACGCACGTACACCACAATTCATGGTTAGCTGCCACCCAACCTTTCTTCGTCTTTCTGACAATTCCTCACAATTTTCAGGAGAAATTAATATATATAGTTCCTGTCCACGTACGAATGGGATACTATCTAACGTAACGTTACGAAACTAAGCTAGCTAGCTCACTACGTACATGGTTCAAATGGAACAAAAGAGAGTTTGTTATTCTGTGTAATATTAATGCTTAGTATTATATAAAATGGGCCACATTTTCATCATTGGTGAAGTGTATAGCGACATTGAAGGTGGTTGCTACTGTTATTAATTGTGGAGATCGATCATAGTACGTGGGACATTAACTTATTAGTCACCCCATTGCGTCCCCAAATTCACTTTCATGATTGTAGAAAAGTGGTATAATTAAGGTTCGTCCCTATTTAAACCACCTCAAATTTTCAAGAAATTTGAGTTATCGAAATTTAGGATCAAATAGTTCTTGGTATTTGATGATGGAGTGTTCGAGTGAGATGTCTCAATCATTTTGGAATCCTTCCGGCTTCAATATTAACAGTTAGTTTATACCACTGAACATGTTGAAACTTCAATGTTTAACTTTTACTTGAGGGTTTTATATATGTAGCGCGCAGAAACCATATATTAATTCCAACTAAGTCAATCAAATAAACTATATTTTTTGAAGCTAAACTCACTCCAATTATATTTAAAACAGCTGAAATTTCCTGGAAGAAATTAAAACACGGCTACAACATTAATGCTAGCTAGGCACCAAGCTAATTAATACTCTATCGCACCTTAAGATTGCGATGTCTCGACAATTGGCTGCAAACAGACACGTATACATTACTACTACTACTGGTCGACTGCAACCCATAATTACGTGGAGTAGTTGCAAATATCCAACGAATTAATCAATGGATCAATGATCATCATCATATCTGCATCGTGCTTAAAAATCTGTTACACTTATATATATATATATATATATATATATGTATGACAGCAGTGGGGTCTTGCTGGCTGCGAATTATAGCACTTTGTACTTAGCATAATACAAATGATCAGCTAGCTTGCAGTCACATGTTTAGACCACTGCTCGTCTCGTACCGACACTAATCAGTTTTATTAAATACATGAGTTTCAAAAGTATGTTCAGTTAACGTCATCGTTAATCATAACTACTTCACCTTTGCGTCGACCGAGTTATATATTGTGTCAACAAGCTAGCTAGATAGTACGTACGAAACTCACATTACATAATTATGACGTTCCATTTCCGAAAATGGTTTAATTATTAAAGTCATAATTGCTAAATGGCGGCAATTTTGTTAATATATAATTGTATCAAAAGTGTTAAAGAAGTGAATGGGGAAAGGAAGCTGCTTAAGGAATATTAAAAGTGCACCTAAAAAGGAAAGAAATAATAGGGAGTACTAGAGTGATGGAGAAAATTAACTAATTAATATAGCATCTCATTAAAATTAATTAGTACTGAGATATTAATCCAAATTATGTGTTGAGTCTTTGAGAGGCAATGCCATTGCAGAACACGAGAGCTTCACTTGCAATTCTGACCTTCTTGTTCTGCATCATAACCCAAAGCTGCTTTAGTTTGAATCATGAACTAATCTTTAAAAAAAAAAAAACTTATAATATAACAGTGTTCAAACTTCAAGGTAAAAGGAAATGAAGAATATAACAACAATTAACGTACGTTAAGTTCCCTAAGCAGGAATGGAGATGCTTCAAACAACAACTTACTTTAATACATTGGTTACGCTGTAGTTGTGATTAACAGCTGGTTTCACCATCAGTTTTTGCTGATTATTAATTTATTTGTTGCCCCAATTAGTTCGACATACCCTATCAAAAAAAAAAAAAATAGTTCGACATACAAACACAGATATACATACATACATCATTGTTACATACAAAAGAAAAAAAGACCGTCAAATATTTTAGCTATTCGACAATAATAACTAAACATTTCAAAAAATAGTTTGACTTGTCAAGAATATAACAATACATTATTAAAATATTTTTTCGAGATAAATTCGAATCACTACAGATATTCATCATGTAGACTTGTTCACCGTGTATGTTACACATAGATCATGAGAGGTTTGGCTAGACATAGACCACACGATGCAATTGGTTTGGTAGATCGATCTTCATCTCTGGTTATTGGATCAATGTGAACAAAGATAGATGACTTCGTTTTACATGATTACATTCTAGACAAAGTTGTTATATAGTGTTGACGAAAATTCTTCAATATATCGTTTCAAATCATAGACTTTTCATATATCCGAACTTCATTCATGTTGTGACATCCATAGATCGTGCACACAATTACAAGGACAAAATGGGAAGGGAACAGGTCAAAAACTGACCAAACGGGGAGATTTATGTGTTGGAATAAGGTGAAACGACAGTAGATACAACGACCATACATATTCCTGTCTGCAGACTGCAACAAGACTTGTGTATTGGTATTTGCATGAATCCTTGTCTCCATGACTACTTAGTTCAATGGAATATATAGATATGATCATGCCAGAAAAAAACCAAGACATTGCTGCTACTGAATCCTCCCCAGCTCCTAAACCGATACGTAGGCATACAGATTTACTTAAAGTTGGTGTCATAAGTTGTGAAATTCAAGACCAAGCAAGTGGGTTCTTTATCGTTAAGCAGAAATCAGATTACTTAACTAATTACTTGGTGAGTTGGGGTTGGAGCTGCCTGACTGCCCACTAACTATGTTATATATAAGTTAATTTTTTTCATGGAAAAAAAACAATAATTCATTATTGTTAAAAATATCTCAAATTCACCCTGGATGATAACTTAGGGACTAGATACTATAACAACACTACTTTTGTTGTTATTGTAACAACACTAGTCTCCAACCAATAGGAAGCTAGGATTGTGATGACTTTTTATTAGATGAGTTGACCTAGTGTAAAATCAAAGCAGGTGTATAATTGTCATTATGAAAAATATGTTTAAATAATAATAATAAAATAAAAAAATAATAATTTTTTTATTTCCGGCCCAAAATTTTGGTCGTCGGAATTCGGCCATCGGTCGCCGGAATCTGGTCGCCGGAATATGCTTTTTTGGTCGCCGGAACATGCTATTTTGTCATCGGAATATGCCACCGTGGTCGGAATATGCTCACCGTGGTCGGAATATGCTTATCGGCGTCGGAATCTAGTCATCGGGGTCGGAATATGCTTATCGGCGCCGGAATCTACTCACTGACGGTCATCGGAGTTTGGTCAACGGTCTTCGTTGACCGGTCAACGACCAACGACCACCGGATGTTATGGTCTGCATTGTGAGATTTATGGTTTTGTTTCTCATATTTTTGTATGTCTTTTGTGGTTTGTTTCATCGTGTTTGTGGTTTGCATTAAGAAGTTTCTGGTTTGCTTTATCGTGCTTGTGGTTTGCATTGAGAAGTTTCTGGTTTGTTTTAAAAAACTTTGTGTTTTGCATTGATGGGTTTCTGGTTTGTTTTAATATATTTGTGGTTTGCATTGGGACGTTTATGGTTTGCTTTTTTGTGGTTTGATTTATTGTGTCTGTGGTTTGCATTAGGAGGTTTCTAGCGTTCTTTCGCAAATGTTGTGGTTTGCTTTGTGATGTTTGTGGTTTGTTTTAGGAGATTTGTGGTCTGCATTAGGAGGTGTCTGGTTTGGTTTGTGTGGTTTGCTTTACGGTGTTTGTGGTTTAGATTATGAGGTTTTTGGTGTGCTTTTGAAAATTTTGTGGTTTGATTTATGTCGTTTCTGGTATGTTTCAGGAGACGTGTGGTTTGCATTAGGAAGTTTTTTATATGCTTTTTGTGGGTTGTTTTATCGTTTTGTGGTTTGCATTAGAAGGTTTTTGGTGTACTTTAAAATATTTGTGGTTTGCTTTGTAGTATTTCTGGTATCTTTTAGGAGATTTATGGTTTGTATTAGGAGATTTGTGGTATGCTTTTTGTGGTTTGTTTTTACTTTTTAGAATAGAAGACAAAGTAGTTGTGTTTTTAGATTTGTATTAGCAACCTGTTAGAATAAAAGACTCTCGTGGGAGTCATGTGAAGTAAAGTGCTGTGTTTTTAGATAGAACTGTGTCGTATACTTGGTTTAGTCTGTTTACTTGTTGACTCGTCTATTGCTTGAGCTAGAAAAGTAGTCTAATAAGGGCTCTTAGTTTAGCAGGGCAAAGCAGTACTTTTATCAATGTTAGCAGAAAATCAGGGAAGTGCCGTCTGTGGGGCGCATTCGATCGCTGCCGCCGTGCTGAGCTGGTCCGCCGGGAAAGGGAGAATCTGGGCGAGCGAGTCGGGCTCGGGAGCCGTGCCGAGAAACGCGGCCAAGGGGCCACCGTCGACGACTTTCGCGACCGAGAACGGGACGCCCGCGTCGTTGCAATGGACTGCCGGGAACGAATCGGCTTCGCCCAGCCTCCTGGCCAGCGGGTAGAAGCGCGTGAGGGCCTCGGCAAGTGAGGATTCGAGGATGTCTATTCTTCTGTCTCCGGATTTTTCTGACTCGCTGGTGTAGTGATTTCTAGGCTTATTATTAAGTTTAGGGATCACATTGTAATTAACCAGCCCATGTTAATTGTTGTTAGGGTTGGTTCGGACGTGT